CTGAAGAGGCTCAGCATAAAGATGAGTGAAAGCAGTCATTAAATCAACATATTCGATAGAAACTCACTTTATAGAGGAGTGAAAATCAATAAGTTCATAATCAGGCCCCTCAGACAAAGCAATCACTCATATGCAGGTATATATCTATCGCCCCTCGGGCAAGCCTCTCAGTCACTCGTGACTCAACTCTTATCAATCAGCACTCACACTCAATAGGTACCTTATAGTAACCGCTGCGGCGCGCAGCACGATCCATAAATATAGTCGAGTGCGCTCACTGGGGGTGTGCAGACTGCGGAGGGGCTCCTACAGCCCAAGCGCTATATCACTGCAGCGTGTAGCCCGATCCAACATATCGTTGTGGCATGCAGCCCGATCCATATACATATAATCCTCACAACTGGGCCCTCGGCCTCTCTCAGTCATTAACTTCACAATCAGACTCTCGGTCTATCTAATTCATCAACCTCACAATCAGACCCTCGGTCTATCTCAGTCATCAACCTCACGATCACTCGGACCATCAGTAAAACAGGGAACTCAGCCCAAATAGTTTTCACATTTTTATGAAATAAAGTGATAAAACCAGATTTAAACAATAAACAGGTGAAACATGACAGAGGATATGCTTTCAAAACAAATAAAGTGAGGAAAAATAGTGAATGAGCCCCTAAGGGTCTCAGCAGGTCGGCACAAGGCCCCAAGCATGGGATACATCCCAAAATATAATATAAGTCTCTAAAACATGGAATATCATAAGATCTCAAATTAAAACGCGACTTAACAGTCGTACGGGACGGACCAAGTCACAATCCCCAATGGTGTACAACTCCACGCTCGTCATCTAGCGTGTGCGTCACCTCAAAGTAACGCGACGATGTGTAATCCAGGGTTTCAAACCCTCAGGACAGTATTTACAATCATTACTTACCTCGATCTGGTCCAAACTCTAGCCCGCGATGCCTTTGCCCGCACAAATTGACTTCTGGATGCTCCAAATCTAGCCACAATCAGTACATAACCATTAGAATATGCTAAGGAAACGAAGCTCACTCGAAAATATCCAATTTACATAAAAAAATCCGAAATTGTTCAAACCCGGGCCCACATCTCGGAATCCGATAAAAGTTACATCAATAGAATCATCGTCCTCTCACGAGTCCATACTACCAAGAACATCAAAATCGGACCTCAATTGCCCCTTCAACTTCCCAATTTACACTCTCCAAAGGCAAGCCTTAATTTCCCAATTCTAGGCTTTAAGTTCCACATATTTCATGATTAAACAAGTAAGAATCAACATAGTATCGAGTATTGAGTTCAACAATCTTACCTCCAAGTGTTTCCCTTCGATTCCCTATTCAATCTTTCTCAAAAGCTCCAAAAATTGCTCAACAATGGAGAAAATAGACCAAAAATCGCGAACTCACTTTTTAAACATTCTGCCCCAGGCCTGTAATCCTTCATCATGATCGTGGGACTTCTTTCGCGATCGCGAAGCACAATCTACCAGGCCCTCAAATTTACTCTACGCGAACGCGGTGAGGGCCACGCGAACGCGAATAAATCCACGCGAACGCGATGCACCACTCGCCCAACTCACGCGATCGCAACTCATGCTACGCGATCGCGAAGAACAACCTGACCTGCCCTCATCACAGCCCTACGCGATCGCGAAGGAGAATTTTCTGCAACAGCTGAAACTCAAAACCTGCAACTCCAAACAACATGGAATGGTCCGATTGACCACCCGAAACTCACCCGAGGCCCTCGGGACCTCAACCAAACATGCCAACATATCCCATAACATCATTCAAACTTGTTCCAATCTTCGGAATGCTCAAAACTGCTCAAAACAACATCAACACACCAAAATCACATCGGATTCAAGCCTAAGAATTCCAAGAACTTCCAAATTCCGCTTTTGATCAAAATCCCAATCAAACCACATCCGAATGACCTAATTGTACACATGTCACAAATGACACAATGAAGCTACTGCAACTTCCGGAATTCCATTTCGCCCCCTGTATCAAAATCTCACATATCAACCGAAAAATGCCAAAATCTCAATTTCGCCAATTCAAGCCTAAACCTTCCACGGACTTTCAAAATGCATTCCGATCACACTCCTATGTCCAAATCACCTAATGGAGCTAACTATAATCATAAAAATTTTGATCCGAGATCATATAATAACAAGTCAAATCTTGGTCAGCTTTTTCAAATTTCAAGCTTCAAACTGAGAATTGTTCTTCCAATTCGTTTCGATTACCCTGAAAAACAAAACCAGCGATTTACATAAATCATAATACCTCATACGGGACAATCCATGCCTGAGAACCGATGAGAAAAGTGCAAAAGCTCAAAACGACCGATCGGGTCGTTAAACAACGGTTTGTGACAAAGTGCATCAACGTGAGTTGGAGACAGGTGCTTCAACAAAAATTGAGGGATGAAGACATGTGCTTCATCAAAAGTGAAAGTTGGAGAGGAGTGCTCTAACATAACAACACAACGAACAAGTCAGACGTATACAACTTTGAATTACGAGAGAATGTTGGAAAATTAATTCAAAGTTGTAGTAGAAAACCTTAGTTATTTAGGATTTGGTTTATTTAATTCATGTCTAAATAGGATTTTCAATTAATATAGGAATAGGCTTTCTTGTTTCTAGTTGAAATAGGTTTCATACTATTATAAATAGAGGTATTGATAGCTTATTTTATGTGTGGAGGAAATAAAGAATTGTAAAGATCAATCAGAGATTTATAATAAAATATTTTCCTTCATTGACAATCATGTTCTTGTTCCTGGTGTTTAATTATTTTCTCTATTCAGGAAAAGAAAACAAAGGAATAGTGAACCACATCTAATTTGAAGTATTTGTGTTACTAGTTAAGCTAGATTTGTAATACACATCCATAGCTTTATGGCTTCAAAAGTGTATCAAAGAGCTTCTCTGAGAGATCGGAGAAGCAAATGGGTTGTAAAAGATGTGGAATATATCTTGAGTTTTATTTAGTTAGGGGGATGCCAAATACTTTTCTCTTTCAGTTTCGAATAGCTTCCCAGACATAGCGCCTTGGTCAATAAGCCATCATTCAAACTTCAGAGTGAAGTTCCAAGTTGAGTTCCTTTCGTCCCCTGTTAACTTTGTGAAGAAAAGAAGAAGAAGAAAGGAAGTTCCATCATAGTAATTAAATGGTACTGTACATGGAGCTAATGCACCCGTATATTAGTGGAGACTGGGCAACTCCAATCGAGCTGAATTTCAGTTGAACTAATGAAATAAACCCATCACTGTGGGAAACCAAACTTGAATCAACCACAACTAGTCAATCCACAATGAACATTTTGGATTCAGTTTTCTTCATCAATCCATTCATTTTCTTGAAATACTAACAGTAACTATTCTGATGGAGTATCTCGTGGATCAACTTTGAGTATCATGGTCTTCAGATCCGCATAAACGGATACCTGTCTTTGGCAGTCTGAATATTTTTAGAGTCAAAATTCGCTAGCTATTTAACCAAAATCATACTTGCTTCGAAACTAAAAACATCTACATGGTAGTTCAATGCATCGAGCAATGGCGGCTCCATAAATTTTGTGGCCTAAAGCGAAATTTAATAAGAGACCATATACTTTTTTATTAGTATATATACACACACATATACCAAAAAAAAAAGATAGTGTTGCCATTTTTTCATACTTGTTATTTATAGCATAACATGCTTAAATGATGAAATTTTTAACTTCACATGGTAGTATTATTATTTATAGTAGTAAGAAGTAACTTAAATAAATTGGATGTAAGCCATGTATTTTCAATATTTTACCTTTGCTTTTGTTGTAAAAAATATATTACTAATATGAATATCTAAGTAATTTAATTCAAAGTTCTAAAATATTTTGTGTTAAAGAGTAGATAGTCTTTCTTTCTTTCTTTTGTCCAAGGTTTATTGTATTTTTTTTTTTTTTTTTGCAAACATTAATATTGTCTAACTTGAAATAAAATCATAAAATCTATTATTAGAAAATTTTGGGGGCCTAAATTAAAGTTTTACTAGTCTCCTAATCGAGTCACATGTCCATCCTCATGCTATTCTCAATCAAATTTTATCGAGGCTCAATTAAGATAAGACAACAATCAATAAATGTATTATTTAGTTACCAAATGTGAATGAAGTTGTTGAATAACACGTTCATGGGCAATTGTCTATAAATAATTGTTGATCATTAATGAGGACGACTCAACGGAACTGGTGGCTTAAAACTAAAATATATTAAAAGATCCTGAATTTCTTTCACAATATTCATATAATATGGAGACAAAAAAAGTGGTGAGAGAACAATATATAATATGTGGGTTAGGCATAAGTCATATGGTATTGAACTCCCTATAAAAAATATAGCATTAAATAAAAATGGTAAAAGGATTGAGCCTATTATTGATTGTGTTTTGAACCTTACAATACTTGTCTCCGGGATTTCTTAGTTAAAAAAAGAGACACAAAAGAACTTGATTACATATATCAAGATCTATAAAATGTGACAAAAAGGAATAGCTAATTTAGAAAATTTGATTTGAAACTAGAAAGTAAAATAGCAAAAAATATGAAAAACGAAAGAAAGAAAAATAGACTTGATGAGAAGATTTATTTAATTTAGTAAGAGAAAAGTTCTATCCTACTAACTCATTCAATCCTACATCTACCAAATTTAAATAAATATTAGAATTTAAAATATTTTATCAATATATATATATATATATATATATATATATATATATATATATATATATACACTTTATATTTTTTGGGCCTTGAATATTTGGGGGCCTAAGGCAAGAACTTCACTTGCCTTACCCTTACCCTAGAGCTGCCCTTGGGCCAGCGAGGCCAGTGAGCTAAGACCAGGGGTTCCAGTTCAATGTGGTTTTCTTTCTTCTTTTCCTTCTGATTTCCCTCATAAATGCATAGTTGGGAACACGACTATAGTTTTATCATCCTACAACTTTGAAAATATCCAAACAATCCTTTGGCACAATATTCAGAATTACCGAGCAATTCAGATTCAAATAATGTACAAAATTTTGCGTAGAAAGTAAGTATTCAAAATCTCCCCACACCTGCCCGCCACAACCAGAAAGAGACTTTATTCTCAGACCTGAGGTCATCAAAAGTTTCTGACAATGTACCCCAAAAGGATGCCAAGCAAGCCAACCACCAAGATGTACGAAAGTGGAACTCCAGTACGATGCTCTTGACGTCCATGCCTCAGAAGCTCCTGGACAATGGTTTCAAATAGCACCCAAATGATAAAATCATCCTTGACAAAATGTCAACACAGCTGTATGGAAATTTTTCTTTGCGCACACAAACTAAATTCAAACAAGTGTTATAGCAAATCCAGATAAATGCCCAAGTTTGCTATGAAGTTCCCAACTTAGGCCAAATCACCAAGCATGGTTATCACACCAAAACTTAATAGTCTACGAACTATTTGCTTCTGATTGAAAAAAAAAATTCTTAAAACCAACTCGTTCTACATCGTGAAGATAAGATTTCTCATCTCCAATAACTACCACATTTTCTCTAAACACGCCTTTCAAGACTTACTCAAATTATTTGGTTAGTGCTAGTGCACTGACGGACTTTATTAGTGCTATATCTGGGGATTAATGACTTCTGATCTACCATGCACATAAATTATCTGAAGAGCCATCCTTAAAGGGATAAAACAAGCATAAACTAGCAGACAGCAAAAGGAAACATCAATTTACTCAAGAACCATTGACCAAGCACGCAGAAAAATCATATACCAGTTCTCGGTTGAGCTTGGAATTTTGTTGAATAATGGAATCTCTCTCTTGCATCAACCTCAAAATTAGTTCTCTGGCCTGCAGTGATTCCAAGATATGAATTGCTTATCAAAAAGAGAATATGACACATCTAAATGTGAGAGGACAATAAGTTTGATACTAGCATGCTGGAAAAACAAAATTCTTTTTTCGATAAGATATGATATGTGGAAAGAACAAAATTCTTTGACAATCACTTCCCAAATCCAAAGATAAATGATGAGGCATTACTTGTTTCTGGAAGAAAAACAAGCACATAGGCATATATAATTTATTTTCAACCATTCTTCTGTTTAAGTTCTCTCCCTTAACTTGTTTTTTATGTGTTTGCGAATGTAATAACTATCACATTCATCTCCTTCTCAGGAGAGATAATCCTGAAATACTAAAGAAATATTCCATAATTACAAACTAGTGTTGGTTTCTTCAACTTGTTTTTCACCTATATCTGTTTATGCAAACTTGAGCTAATTCATTACCTAACTAAACAATTTCTGGGATCAAAAAATATTGATGAAAAGAACAACAAAAACTACTATGCCTCAATCTGAGCAAGTTGGGGAAGTTGGTGAAAAGAACAAACATAATTTCTTTTTGGTCAGGTTCAGGTGTCACTTTTTACACAACAAACAAGAGAATCCAAACTGGTAGGTTGCACCATTTGTCCAAAGAAAGAGGACAAGACAAGAAGAGTGTGGAGTTGCTGACTACCAACAGAAGCAGCAGACAATCGATTTCAAACGAAATGTTGGTTAGCATTAATTGTTGGAATCTGAAGGTTGGATTAAGAGATTGAAATAGAAGGAAAATACAATTCAACTTGTCACATTATGAAGGTGAATTAATGGGTAATAATACTGGGTTTCTCGATAAACCTTCTTTCCAGGTTTTCTGTTTGTTTCCTAAAAACTGTTCTTGCATTCCACGGGTTACTATAGTGTCCTCACATCTAATAAACAGATTAACTGGACAACAACAAAAGTGATGAAGTTGAGGATCCAAATCAGCTTCCTAACAGTGTAGGTTACAAAGCATCAACATATAGGGGAACCAAATCCAGAATAATCTCAAAGGAGCTAATCAAATTTTTCGAACAGAAAAAGCAAAATCTGATATGAAAGAATTGATTCTTCTCCTTGTCACCAAGATTAATAGGCTAATAAGGTTCATTAAGCTTTCTAGTGATTCTAAGAGTTCTCTTAAGGTGTCTCCAATCTCATCTTCACTGGTTGAGGCCATCAATTAACCCCGTTGAGTCCAGAAGGTAATCTACATTTACAGCTCAGATGAAGTATATTTCTCCCAGAAGCTATGTCTAATGACTTAACAGTTTCCGAACGTCAATGCTTTAAATGACCCTCATAACATACCTTAGTGGAGTTATCCTGAGACTCAACATGTTCTTGTAAATCCTGTGATAAGCAAAAATTAAATCATTTGCAACTAATGTATGTCCCTACCATGATGAACAGATGAATTAGAAGTAAATGGTGTATTCTAATTGAATACAAAAGATGCAAAAACAGAGAGTGGAAAACTAATTTAGATTGTCATCTTACAGTTTCAGAAGCTCCTGGTGAAGTCCCTTCCTCAGAATCTTCAGGGACTGGTGATGGCTTTCTTGGTGGTGAAACATAAACAACTTTTAGTTTGCATTCCTCAACATGATTTCCTCCGGACTTGTTGAACTTCAGAAAAAGAAAAGAATAAGATTTGAATGTATAAAGTCGACTACAAAGAAACAAAAAGAATCTATAAGCTAAAATACCATGTCCGGGTTAATATCTTTCGGGGTAGACCCAGGGTTCGTAATCACACTCTGTACAAGAAACTTGTCTTTGCATTGCATATCCGGAGGCAACTCTGTTTGCGGTTGCATCGTAACTAAATCCAATTATCAACAAAAGTAAACCAAAAATAACATCAGATGACATCCATCAAATCTAAAAGACCCATCACAGAGATCTAGAAAAGCACCTGTAACGTTGGATCTTGATCGTGGGAGAACAATTCCACTGTTCGGCCTGACAGTATACTTCCTGGGATTGGTTGTCTTTACCTAATAAAAGCCGATAAAGAGTACATAATTTAGCCTTTTCAAAATAGTATTAAATCCCCCTCAGCCAGAATATTACAAATTTATAACACTAACATTTAAATGACCATTTCCTTTATCAAGGAATATCTTCCTCATAAATCATATTAAAAAATTCAGAATTGAGTGAAGATTAGGACTTCAGCTTTCCTGCTCATCAAAAACAAAATAGGTAAAACTTACCGCACCTAATGTTTGCACCAAACCAAGTAAAACCTTTAGAAGTAACAATTAAAGTGAGATACATATTGATATAATCAACCCTACTTTCTCTTCTATTTTTCTATCTCCCATCTATCTATTTTCTTTAGTTATTTACTAGAGCAAATATGATCTGGAAGTCGATCAGAGCAAGTGTTCGGATCTATTATGACATAGCCTTGAGGCACTCAAGGGACTTTTTAACCTTCTAAAAACCTCTTTGGGTTTGGAAATTAATTAAAAAAACTATCATGTATTTAATAGTTTGGTGCAAATACCGGAGCAAGTAAAATTTTCTATCTCCGGCCCAAACTAGTAGGACTCGGCTATATGATTTCTCGGCACTCATTCCTCGACTATACAATTCTCTATTGCATCCCGCTCTATTCAGTACTTCCTAAAAACTAATTATAGTCAGACTATAAATTACGCTCACCAGTGGCGGGGGCAGAATTTCCGTTAAGGAGTTCAAAAAAGAAAAAGTAAAAACACTAAAAGGAACTATGGCCAGTGGGAATTGTACCAGCAACCTCGCAAAGGTTTTGAACCCGTTAACCACTAAGTTATGCTTTTGTGATGTGGCAAGGGGATTCAAAATATAATATATAGAGGCACAAAACAAAGTTTGCCTTATTTGTACAGCGTAATTTTCGAGCGAAGGGGGTCGGAAAATCCCTTCCGCCCCTCTAAATCCGCCCCTGATGCCGACAATCAACCTACGACAATCTCTCTCTTCAAAAACAACGAAAGCACCAGAAATGAAAACAGAAAGGGGCACAATTCCGCACATGAACGTCAGTATAATAGAGGTTAAGTAAGAATATATATACCTTGAAAGCAACGTGATTATCAGTCTTATTGATCAGTTCAAAAGAGCTCGAAATTGACTTCTTGAGTTCGACTTCGAAATAACAAAAGCAGCAAAGAAAAAGAGAATAATCAAAACCCTAGGAGAACATAATATAAAACTGATTCCTTTTTTTCCAGAAAAGAAACTGAATCATACGAGTATTAAAATTAAAAGATACATAAAGGAAGAAACTCACATGGAAATTGGAGGTCTAAAGGATCGATAATTAGAAGTTCTTCACTTGTCATGGTGAAAAAACAACGAAATATGGAGCTGATAAAATCAAATTTCTGAAATTATGAATTATGATGATAGCAAAGAGAGAGGAATTTGAACGTGAGTTTCGAAGTTTGGTTTACTGAATTGGAAAATATAAATACTACTCCATTGGAATCTTATTTTGACGGAATCAGAGGGTAGGGTCTTCTCGTGAATTTCAAAGACCAACTTCCAAAAGTACTAAGTAGGCGTTTGGACATAAGAATTGGAAAATTGGAAAATTGAAAAAATTGTGAAATTTTTTTTGAAGTGAAAATGATATTTGAAATTTAGAGTTGTATTTGGACATAAATTTCAGTTTGGGTTGTTCTTGAAGTTTGTAAGTGATTTGAGTGAAAATTTTGAAAAGTGGTTTTTTGTAGTTTTCCAAATTGTCGAAAATTTTCAAAATGCATCTTCAGGCGAAAATTGGAAATTTTATGAACAAACGCTTATTTCAAAAAAATATAATTTTATCCACTGTTTAATATGTTGTATTAAAAATAATAATTGCATAATTTTTAAGAAGAAGCTATAAGTTATCCGGACACTAATTACCCCACCTTCTACAAGGTAAAAGTTATCCCAATACTAATTTTAATCCCCGGATAACTTATACCAGATTTGCTAACCAACCAAAGTATTAAGGTGGTATTAAATTTTTATACCAGCACTATGTCTTTTTATATCTCATACCAAATGACCCCTACCTGTTTAATTATACAGAAACTTCACTAACAAGCTTGATTAACAATTAATAGTGAAAGGATTTATGTTATATACTTGGGGTGCCTTTGGTACGAAGGAAAATGTTTTCAAGAAAAATAAGTGGTTTTATCACTTTTTTTTCATTGTTTGGTTGATGAGTGGAAATATTTTTCCGGAAAATATTTTTTATGCTACTGTACTCACCTTCCCCCCCCCCCCCATGTTTCCTTGCCGCCCCCTGTCCCCCTCCCCCCAGTACCCAACATTTTCAGGACTCTATTTTCTTCAAGAATTTAATCATTCTTCTAAAAATTCACACAAACCCAAAGGAACTAATGTGATGCTTACTTTTTTACGCAAAAATGATGTTGAAATTCGCTCCATAACTAAAAAGAAAATATTCGTTGTTGGTTGAGAAAAAAAGTACTCTTGCTACAACATGAAAATAAAATAATATACTGGCATAAGAAAAGAAAACTTTCTTTCTCTTCGCACATGCTCTCGGCGCATGATAGTAACGTGTGCTGACAGTGCTCATCCATGGCGAACGGAAGAGGACAGGGACGAGGACGAGGGTGTGGTAGGCCCAAGAAGAACCCCATAGCTATCTTTGGTGGCTCTGTGGGTGCTCGAATCCAAGCTGATGAAAAGGAGAAGGACCAATTGGGCACACCTTCTAATAAACAAGTGGTTGAAACTGGAATTGCAATGGGGATGATGAGCTGTGAAGCGGGATCATCAGAGGCTAGATCTGAACACTGCTCCAACAGCAACTGAAGCTAACATACCTGATGAGTACCAAATCCAACATGAAAGTAAGGAAAAATACTTTCTAGCAATGAAACAGTGAAATCCTGTGCATGCTGCTAATGGAATAGTGATTGTGGAGAATCCTAAGCCTGATGAGGCAAGTGCGGCGAAGCCCAAACCGTGGACAAACCTATTTCAGAGGAACAGAGCAGTTGAGAATGGTATGTCGTTATCCTACATACCTCTACAAATTATTGATGGCCAAATTGTAGTACAATTAGACAAAGCTGAAATTGATTTAGAGACGAAGAAGTGGAGAAATGTTGTGATAGCTTATATCATTGGGGAACCACCAGGTTACAACACTATAAAGAGATATATTGGGATGAATTGGGCAAATGTTGTTGAACCTGAGTTATACCTACATGAGGAGGGCTATTACATCATTAAATTCCAGAATGAAGCAGACATGTAGGAAATCTATTACTCTACGCCATATACGATCAACAATAGACCTATTATTTTGAAGCCTTGGATACCAGATTTTGATTTCAATGAGGAGTTTCCTACAGAGATTCCTCTGTGGGTCCAATTCCCCAAGTTGCCAATGAATTGTTGGGGTCATGACTCTTTATGTAGAATGGCTAGTGCAATTGGGAATCCTACCTATGCAGATGAGTGTATTGCTGTAACGATCCGACCGGTCATTTTGAGCTCTAGAACTTCATTAGGCGGTTTGAGGCCATGAGCAGCTTCATTTCAGGTATTATGACTTGTACGCGTGGTCGGAATTGAATTCGAGAAGTTTAGGGTTGATTCGAAAAGAAAAATCTCATTTTGAAAGCTTTAAGTTGGCAGAATTGACTAAGATTAGATTTTCGAGTAAACGGCCTTGGAATCATCATATGAAGGTTCCAACAGGTTCGTATGATGATTTTGGACTTAGGCGTATGTCTGCATCGGGTTTTGGATGACCCAAGAGCGTTTCGGCGCCTATTGTGCAAGCTAGTATTTTGGAAGAATTTCATAAGTTTAGGTTGAAGTTCATTCTAGTGTTATCGATGTCTGTTTGGGATTCCGAGTCTGGGAATAGCTCTATATGGTGATTCTGGTATTGGGAGCGCAATCGGAAGTGGATTTGGAGGTCCGTATGTCATTTTGGAGTCATTTGGCTAAAGTTAGAAATTTGAAGGTTTTTGAGAAGTTTGAACGAAAGTGGACTTTTTTACATTGGGGTCGGATTTCGATTCCGAAAGCCGGAGTAGGTCCGTAATATCGAATATGACTTGTGTGCAAAATTTGAGGTCAAACGAGATTTGATAGGATTCGGCATCGAATGTTGAATTTTGAAATACTAAAGTTCATTAAGCATGGATTGGAGGGTTATTCATGGTTTAAGCGTTGTTTGATGTGATTTGAGGCCTCGAGCAGATCCGCATTATGTTTTTTGATTGGTTGGTATGACTGGACGGGGTCTTGGGGGCCTCGGGTGGATTCCAGATGGTTAACGGATCAATTTTGGAATTTGAAGAAGAAGCAAAATAGCTGCCTTCTGGTGTAACCGCACCTGCGAGGCTTGGGCCGCAGGTGCGGAGCCACAGAAGCGGCCATGAGGGACGCAGATGCGGTGTTGGAATAGAAGTGAAGAGACCGCAGATGCGGTCATATAGCTGCAGAAGCGGTACCGCACCTGCAGTAGGTGAGGCGCAGAAGCGGAAAGTGCAGCCTGGTGAGAAACCGCAGAAGAGGTAGTAGGGCCGCACTTGCGGAACTGCAGAAACGGTCAAGTGACCGCTGGTGTGGAAATGCTGGAGGCAGTGAGGTTCTTTAAATGGGGGATTTGGCTCGTTTCTACTCCATTTCTTTCATGGGTGCCGGTTTTGGAGCAACTTTGAGCTGCCATTTTCACCACCAAGCATGAGGTAAGTGGTTTATACATTTAAGTTAAATACATCGATTATGTATATGTTTTAACATGGAAATTAGTAGAAAGTTGGGATTTTGAAGAAAACCTAGAAATTTGGTATTCTTGGATTTTGACCACGATTTTGGAGATGAAATTGAGAGTACATTATATATTCGAGGTCGTGAGGTTGTGGGAAAACATTATCTTCGAAAAATTTCGGAATCTGGGCACGTGGGCTTGAGGGCGATTTTGTCAACTTTTCGATCGGGGTTGGAAATTGTTATGAGTAATTGAGCATGTATTAATGGATTTGCATAATTATTGGCTAGTTTTGAAGCGTTATGCATCGATCTGTGTCTTCGGAAGGGCGTGGAATGCCGGTTATAGAACTCCGGAGCGAGGTGAGTCTCCTTTCTAACCTTGTATGAGGAAATTATCTCCATAAGTGAATTAATTGGATATGTGCTTCTATTTGTGGGGGCTACGTACGCACTAGGTGACGAGAGTCCGTGCATAGCTACTATTATGCGTATGTCCGGGTATTCCTAGGTTACATCATGTTTTGTTGATGTTGTTGCTGATCGATGTTATTGATACCTTGAGAAGAAATAAGATTGAAGTTGCGTAATAATTATGTTGAAAGGTATTTTAAATTGAGGAATTCAAGAATTTAAGTGTTACCGCTAAACTTAGTACTTTCAAAAAGAATTGGGGGATCTTATAATAACTTAAGGAATCTATGTGTAATCGTGTCACATGTATGTTTCGCGAGCGGGGAAAATTACCTTAAAAGCTTCACGTTGAATTGTCTTTATTTTTTAAAAGGATCAAGAAAAGGATTTTGATTTGTTAATAAATTTATATTTGACTGCGTCGCATGTATGATTCGCAAGCCGGAAAATTCCTCAAATCTATATTTGACCGCGTCGCACGTATGATTCGCGAGCAGGGTATTTACTTCTACTATTCTCATAGGAGCGGGCCGATCACCACAGCAGGTTAATAGATGCATATATGGTTTATGTTGTTCGAACCTCGCCAATGCACAATTTACTTTTATGTTAGATCGGGTCGTAAGCCTTGACATTACCTATATATATATACCTATGTATTATACTCCTGGAATCGTGCGTAACACTTGGCTAGAAGCCGGTGTATATGAGGGATTTTTTTCTGAATTAAATCCTGATAATTTCCTTGACGGAAACTACTATAATTGTACATATATGCTAAGATCACGGAGGGAAACTTATTAGATGAAAACTTGGGGTAAAATTATGAAAAAGGGGGATGGTATTATTGTGTTTTATACATGATTATTTCATATATTCACCTTGTTTCATACTTATTCACTTCTTTACTGTGATGATATTATTGGACCATTAGTAAGTGTCGAAATCGACCTCTCGTCTCTACTTCTTCGAGATTAGACGTGATACTTATTAAGTACACGTTGTTTTTGTACTCATGCTACACTTGCTGTACATTTTTGTTGCACAGGCACATGTACCTCTAGTGGCCTGATGGGCGTAGCAGCACGGATGATACATAGACTTAGGTGAGTTGTATCTCTCGAGACGACGCGCAGCCAGTAGAGTCTCTTTCGTTGTATTATATTTACTTTCTGTCCAAGTTTGTATTCCGGAAAGCTATTGTACTTTATTAGAATTCCTAGTAATTGCTCATGCACTTGTGACACCGGGTTCTAGGACGATTTCGGGATTATTCAGTAAATAAATTTTGTAAAGATATCTTCATTTATCCAGTGAAGTTTATAATCCATTTTTTAAATGTTTAGAAGAAATGATTCGAGAATATT